AAATGCTAAATCACTATCTGGAACTAATATATCTGGAACTAATATAATATTGTATATCAACTATACTTCAATTAAAAGCAAATAATTTTTCGGGGCGCCTGGGTGGCGCAGTCGGTTAAGCGTCCGACTTCAGCCAGGTCACGATCTCGCGCTCCGTGAGTTCGAGCCCCGCGTCAGGCTCTGGGCTGATGGCTCAGAGCCTGGAGCCTGTTTCCGATTCTGTGTCTCCCTCTCTCTCTGCCCCTCCCCTGTTCATGCTCTGTCTCTCTCTGTCCCAAAAATAAATAAAAACGTTGAAAAAAAAATTAAAAAAAAAAAAGCAAATAATTTTTTAAAAAGAAATAAAGGACTTCTCTGCAGTTACAATAAACAAGATAATCAGATTGTAACAAGCACCCTGAACTAAATGAATAGGGCCATATAACTGATAACAAGGAAAGACAGGGAGCTACATTAGGGTCATCAGAGGAACAGACAGCGGAGCAGCCATTCAGGGGAGAACATAAGAAAATGTATTCTGGGCACAAATGTGATAGAAGAAAGAACTTGGTATAATGGAGGAACAGAAGGAGGCCAGTGTGATTGTACAGTATTGAGGAGTGAAGTTGCAAAAGGAGGCAAGCCTGATAATGAAGGACCTTGGAGGCCACCATAGGGAAAGCCAGGAAGGGCTTACGTAGGAATAACCTAAGTATATAGTTTCCATATTTTTAAACATATTCGTGTGGCTATGGAGAACCAACTGTATGAGACAAGAGTGGAAAGGGTTAGCATGTCAACTCAAGTGAAAGTGAAGGAGGCTTAACCTACTAGCAGTGGAAAGGTAGAACTGACACAGTTTGGTGGTGGATTAGATATGGAGGCAAAGAGAGGAACCCCAAGAATAAACCCTGAGAAACTGAGTAAATTTTGTTCCATTTACTAAGATGGAAACAACTTAAAAAACTGGGGGGAAAAAAGGAAAAAATATATATATATATTTCATATATATACACATATATATTTTTCATACACATATATATGAAATACGGGTTTTTGATGTTAGACAACAGATAAAACAGGATAGAGGAATTAAATGAGTTGAGCCCCATGAATGCCCCAGATTCCTCCTCAGAGGCAGTTTCTAGGTTGTGGGGCAGGAAGGGGGAACCTAAACCAAATCAAGCAGCCTCGTTATGTTCAGGAGACACAGTCAAGAATTTGCAAAAGCCAAGACGGCTGGAATTTGCAGGGCAGAGTACCAGAGGAAAGACAGCTGCATCGAGAGGAGAATACCAAAATAATGTGCAGAGAGTTCTTTTCAAGTCTTTAGGTAAGTATTGACCAGCACAATACTTGTTGGGAAATACTGAACAACAGGGAAAGAACTACCAAAAGAAACAGGCAGGCAAATTTTGAGCTGGGAAGAGTTTGTGTTCCCACAGTCAAACTGGAAAAATCTCACCTAATAAACAGGGAACTGGGTAGAATACTCAGGAGGATACTGCTTCCATAGGGGAAAAAGTAGCCTTGGATTAAAGGCTGCTCTGGCCCAACTCACAAAGCTTAAAAGCCTTGAAATGATCAAACGGTTTCCAAGTAACTTAACCATATTCCAAAACAAGCTCAAGAATATTTAAAAGAATGTAAAAACAACACACACATATACACAAAAATCCAACACCCAACAGTATAAAATTCACTCCCAATAAAAAATTAGCAGGCATGCAAAGAAGAGGAAAATATGACCCAAAATAAGAAAAATCAATCATTGAAAACAAACCCCAAAATGACACAGATAACTCTTTTAATGTCCTTTTTTACTATTTCTATTATAAATATATTAAGCAAGGTAGAGAAAAGAAATAGCATATTAAGGAGAGGCATGAAAGATTAAAAAAAAATTTCCATAGGCAAAAATACATTAGGTAAGATTAACAGCAAATTAGTGAAGAATAAGTTAGTGAACTTGAAGGCAAGGCAACAGAAACTATCCAAATTAAAGACAGAGAAAAAAGACTGGGAAACGTATAAAACATTAGTAAGCTGTGGGTCAACTTCAAGCATAGTAATATGATTATAAACTGGGAGTCCCAGAAGGAGGTAGGAGAGCATGGAGTATAGAAATTTTATTTTAAGAAATAATAGCGAAAATTAAACTATATAAATATACACACATCCAATAAGTGCAACAAACCCCAAGCACAAAAATCATGAAGAACACCACACCAATGCATATTGTAATGAAACTGCACAAATTTGATGATGAAAACCTTAAATTAAAAGCAGCAGAGGTTTTAAAAAATTACGAAGGAACAAAGATAAGAATGACAAGAGTTCTTTTCAGGAACAACACAATCCAGAGAGCAGTAGAGTAAACAACACTTTTAAAACCAGAATTTTAGGGGCACTGGGTGGCTCAGTCAGTTAAGCATCTGAGTCTTGATTTCCTCTCAGTTCATGATCTCATGGTTTCATAGGTTTGAGCCCCATGTCAGGATCTGCACTGATGGCACAGAGCCTGCTTAAGATTCTTCCCCTCTCTCTGCCCCACCGCCTCCACCCCCTACTCACTCTCTCTCCGTCTTTCTCAAAATACATAAATAAACTTTTTAAAAAACTAGAATTTTATACCCAGCCAAAATATCTTTCGAACATAGAGTCAAAAATCTTTCTCAACAAGGTGGGGCTGTACACATTGCTGAAAGTATTTTGGATTTTTGTCTTCAAAGTAATAGTAAAGCCACTAATAGACTCTGAATGGTGAGACTTGCATTTTAGGAAAAACACATTAACTTTTGTTAAGAACAGATTGAGCTTGGGGGCCAGGGGGCCACACATATGTAAGAGCAAAGGAGCATAAACTTGTTCAAAAAACAGGATAACATTGATTGGGCTGGTAGAAGTGGGTATGAAGAATGGTAGACTGATTAGAAAAATATCTAGAAGATAATTATTTGAAGACTTGGTGCCTGGATGTGAGGTGTGAGGAAGAGGAAGGAATCAAGAATGATTCCTGTTCCTGACATGAACAACTATACTTACATATAATTTTATCTACCTGAAAAATAATGTAAATCAATTATACACTATCATAACTGTAACTGAAACCCACAAGAGTAAACTATTCTAAATACTGCATTTAAACTAAAGAATTCACTGTGTAAAAATGCAAATAAAAACCAAATAGCACTTTTTTGTAGGAGAGAAAGATACAGGCATAAGCATTCTTCATCTGAAATTTGCACTGAGCTCAATCTTGCATTGACACAGTTGCTATTGTTCCTTATAGAAAATAGTAAAAGCATGACTTCTATGAGCCATTTGATGAAACACTGAAGTGCCTTTACAAAACAGTTCCTTCTACAGGCAAATCACTATTATGGGGGGGGGTACCTTTAAAAGTAATTATAACTCTCATAAGGCATTTAAAATGGCAAATTTTTGGTAATCCCTCCTAGTTCAGCAACCTTGCTTCCTATGTTTCTGTCTTCACAGGAATCTATTGGTGAAAGATTTTTAAAAGGTTTTAAATGGTAACAACAAAGGTTTGTCATGGATTTATAAAGTGCTGCGTACTATTATGTTGTACTAAGTACCTTACATGATAATCTCATTCAACCTTAAAAACTCTATTAGGTGGTAGTTATCCCCATTCAACAGATAAATTGAGATGCAAAGAGGTTAAGGAATTTGTCTTACATTATGAAGCTAATAAGTGGCAGAGCTAAGGATATAAAACCAGAGAGGGCTCACCTCAATCCCTGGGGACTCTTGAGAAATTCATCTTTAAACTTCAAAAATCTTCCTGCACATTAGAATATGTGTAACTGGTATACTGATTTTGTGTGGTTACATTCTTTACATGTAATAACTAAGTTTCTAAATTATTTCCTTTTAAAATTTCACAAAAGGGATTAAAAGTACACTTATCATGTGGTGAGCATTGAGTAATGTCTAAAATTGTTGAAACATTATAATGCATGCCTACAAATAGCACTGTATGCTAACTGTATTTCAATTAAAAATAAGATAAAATTGGGGCGCTGGGTGGCTCAGTCAGGTAAGCGGCTGACTTCAGCTCAGGTCATGATCTCACGGTTTGTGAGTTCGAACCCCACACTGGGCTCTGTGATGACAGCTCAGAGCCTGGAGCCAGCTTCCAATTCTGTGTCTGCCTCTCTCTGCCCCTTCCCAGCTGGCACCCTGTCTCTGTCTCTCTCAAAAATAAATAAACGTTAAAAAAATAATTTAAAAAAAGATAAAAGAAAAATTAATAAATTCTCATCCTTAAAATGTTCAGACTTTCAATTTGCCTCAAGAAATTCTTCAAAGCAGATAAACTTAAAAAGCAAGAATTATATGTAGACTATGAGAATTTTCACAAACATATGTAGACACGTGTGTGTAACAGGGGACGCTGATAGAGAATCCAAATCATCAAAGGCATAGCTTGGCTGAGTACAGACACCACGGACCTGAAAGTGTGCTGAGGGTTGGCTATGTTAAGTTGTACAACAGGGGCGCCTGGATGGCTCAGTCAGTTGAGCGTCTGACTCTTGATTTTGGCTCAGGTCATGATCTCACAGTTGATGAGTTCAAGCCCCATACTGGGCTCTGCACTGACACTGCAGAGCCTGCTTGGGATTCTGTCTCCCTCTTTCTCTGCCCCTCCCCTGCTGGCTCTCTGTCTCACAAAATAAATAAAAATAAACTTTAAAAAAGAAGAAGAAAGCTGTACAACAAACCATTAATGCTATCACGTAGTACTGTGATAGGAAACAGCTCAGACGATTTGTGTGGAAACCATGTTGTATGATGAAGGACTGCACACACTTAAACTTTCTCGTGCTCAATTACATGGCATGTTATATGCATGACTCTTTCATCAACAACTACACAGTTACTAGGATTAACTTCAGAATTGTGAACTCATTAAAATTTCTCTGTAGCTGAGCAGAAACTCACAATTTAAAAGGTTTTTTTTCTCTGCCACAACAAAAAAAGCCTAGAAACTGAAATTCTCCAATAAAGTTATTTTATTTGGGTTCAACCTAAAATAGTTTAAATTTGATCTTTGTTAGAGAAAAGAAATCTCCAATTGTATAGACTTAATAAAAAGTACTGAATTTGCCACTTCCAATAGAGGATAGTTTCTTCATGCTTTGGGCATCTACCATTAGTAACCCAAAAGACTACTGGTAGTAAATATGTCACAGCACTGAAATGCCCAAAATCAATTTCCTAGCTTAGAAAGTTGCCCTTATGTTACCATAACACACAATAGTCTCCTGACTATTCATATTGTTTGAAAACCATGAAAACACAGTTTTTGGCATGCATGCCCAGTTGGAAAAGGATTTGTTCCTCTGAAAACACCATTCATAAGACTAGGCAGAGCTGAGGGCACCTCTGTGTGTGAACAAGCAGGTAGGTATCTCAGGGTTTCTGCAGCCGTCTCCTTCCTTAATGGGTAAGTACCGGTGCCAACAAGGGGAGAGTCCAGGCACATGACTCAGCTTATGACTTAATTTTCCACAGCTAAGAAAAGAAAATCACCAAAATAAGTTAGTTTTAAGACAAACAGTTGGGGTTTACAGGTCCACTTACATGACTATGAACCAAGAACCCTTTACATAAGAACAGTAGCAACTCTAGAATACCATAGAGGAAAAACCATCTAACAATTTCTAGGGTCAAAAATGACATACTGCAGTTCACGGGTTTTGGGTATGCACTCATTCTGCCTCTCAGAGGCAGACCCTTCCTCAGCCCATGCTGTTAGATTAACATGAGATTCAAACTTGATTTTTCGTTCAAGAGCAGTCTATTGTACTTGTGTCAAATGAGAAAACTTAAGCTAAGAACTTAGCCCATGCACCACCATCAAAACGTGTATTTCTTTACCTGAAGAGTTATTTCCACACCAGTCCCCTAGTCTGTCTGTCTCTCGCTCAATCACAGATGCGCACACACACACACACACACACACACACACACTCACAGGGTGAAGAGCAAGGATTATTATATTTAGTAAGACTAAAGCAGATGCCACAGAGTACTAGTCACACTTACTCTTATATTAAATCCTAGAAGATCACTTATAACACCTGAGACAGCAGAAAGGATAACTACTCGTGTGATATTGTAGATTAAGGGATTCATTGTCAGTCCATAGAGTCTAAACGGTGTGTCCAGCTCCTACAAAAAATATGAAAGAATGGAGATGAAATACATGGCCTATCGATGGCCACCAGTGATTTCTGGGCTGGTTTTTAGGTCTTGGGTACGGATGAGTGTGTAAGGCCTTCCTTCATGTTCAACAGCTGCTTTCAAAAGACCTATAATGGACTCTCACCTACTTTCCACTAGCTAAGTGTTTAAAGGTGGGTTCAAGCAGTATGTTGTGAATTTTTTTTTTTAAATATAATTTGAAAAATGAGACAGACATCAGCAATCATCAGAACCTGGATAACAAGATGGGAAATTTTTTTCTTACATAGTCAGGAACCCAAAACTATCAACTTGACATTGTGAATGTACACAGTCCAGCAGCCATCTGTTACGAGGGTCTTCTCCCATAAGTACAGCATTGATTTCATTTAAGTGCTAGTGAAAGTAGATCACAGGATATTACTTACTTTCAATAACTTGGTGGACAGCTTTAATACATTATTTACTAGAGTGAGCTGTTCTTTCTTATTAGGCTTTTTTTCCATCTTAAGATATAAATTAATCTAAGGAAAAAAAGAGAGATCAAGGCAAATGTCACAGAAAAAGATAGATATACTGCACTAAGTTTGGCAGATTCGAAAGTAATATTTTCAAATAAAATAAATTTGAAAATTCCTGCAGTTATTTCTACAAAACACATATGGCACATACCCTACTCTCCAGCCCATGCAGTCACAACTGACAAAGAAAAGCCAGTTCGTGAATAAAAAAAAAGTAGGGGCGCCTGGGTGGCTCAGTCGGTTAAGCGTCTGACTTTGGCTCAGGTCATGATCTCACAGTCCGTGAGTTCGAGCCCTGCATCGGGCTCTGTGCTGACAGCTCAGAGCCTGGAGCCTGCTTCGGATTCTGTGTCTCCCTCTCTCTCTGACCCTCCCCCGTTCATGCTCTGTCTCTGTCTCAAAAATAAACATTAAAAAAAATTTTTAAAAAATATGAAGCAATTTAACTATCAAAACAATGAAAAGTGTAATGTTAATTATAACTTAACAGTTAACATGTGAACTTTTTTAAGTTCAAAAGCTCTACCTACTCATTTTGGTGACACCCACATAATATAACATCCTCATTAAACATTAATGAAACATAAGAAGATAGCTGCTTTTAACTTGTTAATTCTTTATTTTTTCTCCTATAGGAAATATTCTCCCACTATAATTCTCAGGCAAAAGAAGAAAATCTAATGATACCAAATGTATTTATGTAAAATTTATGGATAACCATGAAATCAAAACCAAAACCAAAAAAAAAAAAAAAAACAAAAAAAACCCTTTATACTACTCTATAAGAAACATTTCCCAGTCTTAATATCTATTCCCATACTAAAGAGAAAGTATTTTCTAAACTTTGAATGTATGGCTGATACAGAAGAAATTCAAGAGCTTATTAAAAACATGCTTAAATGACAAGTACTATAAAGATCTAATACTTGATGCAGAATATGAGACTTAAAGCATGCTCCATTATCACGAATAAAGATACCTTTAAAATATACAAACTACTTTCAATCCATTAGATCTTAATTCTTACAATCCTGGGAGCTGGTGGGGAAGATTATAAACCCTCATTTTATAAGGAGGAAATAATTATATAGTAGCAAAGTCACCTGTAAGGTCATATAGCTAGAAAGTGCTAAATCTAGACTCAACCCTGAATCTTCTGCACAAATCTTATGCCATCTCTAACCACAGAACTAAATTAACAAGAACCAGTCGTTACCTGTTCCGTAAGTAATATTGAAACATTGCTGTATTTCTTATTGGTTTCAGACCCCAATGAGGCCAGACGCAGTAAGAAAAGTAGTAAAGCTGTTTCCCAGATCAAAAACTCCCAATTATAAGCATCATTCAGGAAAGTTTTATGCCCTTGCAGAACCTATACAAAGAACCGACAAAAAGTTAGGTTTTTCATTTGTCTCAAAATCTATAATTACTCCTTTACTCTAGCAACTTAAGATTTACAAGTTACCAATATTTTATACTCAAAGCAGAATTTTAATACTCATATAAAGCCTTATCTATTTAATCCCTACCTATTTCTCTAGGTTTCCTAGACTTTTTCCAGACAGCAGAGGAGGAAGTAGCAGAGGAGGAAGTAGCAAAGGAGGAAAACATAGAAGTAAAATCAGACAAACACATTTCCAGCCTTTTAACCACTCATGTGCCCACTCACAATTATATGGTGACCATTTTTCAGTGTTAAATTCACATTATCACTAGTCGGCCTTCCTAAGACATGTGGCCCATCTTACTGGTATGACTTGAAAACCCTGAGGATCAATTCTTTACTCCATTTTAGGATCCAAGTAACAACAGCAGCAGCAGCTACCATTTATCAAATGCCTATTATTACGTGTCAAGTTTGCTAGTAAAAGTTGTGTTTTTTGTTTGCTTCAAAATTTACTCAAGCCAGCCTGAGGTAAAGTGGAACACACTGGAAAATATACAGAGAATCCTCACAGAAACCAAATGCCGGCCTTTTGAAACCAGGGAGTCACAGCGCAGCTCTCCTCTCTGTCTCTCTTCCTCAAGGGCCATTTGGGCTCCCATCTCCACTCCTCTTAGTTAATTCTGTTGCTTTGCATGACCCTTGTTTACTGCTCCCTGCAAGTTTGGCTCGCTCCAGCTTTGGTTTCCCATAACACCCTACTGGCCCCACTGACCCCTACTGACCCTCTCTTCTCCAAAGGCCACCAGTGATATCTCAGGTTTTCAGTCCTAATTTCTAAAATTTCTAAATTCTAATTTCTAAATTTCTAAATACGTTTGGCTTAGTCTGGGTCAGGTGTTTACCCCTGCCAATCAGTTATAACTAGAGTAGGAAAGTAACAGTTAGTAGCAACCTAGGCCCACCTCTTCAGCAGGGTGGATTGTTGTGCGGCAATATACAACACACAAACCACAGCCAAAAAATCAAACACAAAGAAAAACTCTTAAAACCAGCCAGAGAAGGGGTGCATGGGTGGCTCGGCTGGTTAATCGTCCAGCTCTTGGTTTCAGCTCAGCTCATGATCTCATGGTTCATGAGTTCGAGCCCCACATTGGGCTCTGCACTGATGGTGCGGGGCATGCTTGGGATTCTCTCACTCTGCCACTCCCACGCATGTTCTCTGTCTTTCAGAATAAGTAAATTTTAAAAATTGAAAGAAAAAAAATTAAAAAAAAAAAACACCACAGAAAAAGGACATTACCTTTAAAAGAGCAGCAAATAAAACCAACAGCTGACTTCTCAAGATAAAACATGGAAATCAAAAGGTAACAGAATCCCAAAAGTATTGAAAGTAACTGGCAACCTAGAAATGCATACTCAGTGAAAACATCCTTTAAACAAGAAAGCGATAAAAGACATTTTCAAACATACTAGAACAGAATTCATAACCAGATTCTTCAAACAGGAAGAAAAAAATCCCAGAAAAAAACACAGAAATGCAAGAACTAATGAAAAGCAATGAAAAGGGTAAATGTGTAGGTAAATATAAATGAATAACTGAATACAAAAAATAATCATTATATCTTGTGGGTTTAAAACATATGTAAAATTTGGGGTGCCTGGCTAGCTCAGTCAGTAGAGCATGCAACTTGATTTCAGGGTTGTAATTTGAGCCTCACATTGGGTGTGGAGCCTACTTAAAGAAATAAGTCAAATAAATACAAGAAAATATACGTAAAATTTTAAGTAAGGATACTAATAATGGGTGAATGGATAAATGAGATAAAGTGTTCTAAGGTCCTAGCATTATCAAGGAAGCAAAAATTAATAATTTATTAGACTATAATAAGCTAAGGATGTATGTTGCAATCTCTGAGGTAAAAGTACATATAACAAGTAGTGAAAGAACATATAACACATTAACAAAGAGGATTAAATGGAATATTACAGAATACTTGATTCATAAAAGATGCCAAGAAAGGAGAGAGAAAGAAAATTTAACAGGTAGACCAAATAAGAAATAAACAGTATTTGTATCTGTGGTAATTACATTAAATGTAAATGAGCCAGACAATCTAAAACACTAAGACTGTGAAGCTGGATTAAGGAACAAACAACCAAAAAAAGGATATGCTGATTACAGAAGCCAGGACTCAAATATGAAGACAAAATAAATGAAAGGGTGGACAAAGATATAATATGCAAAAACGAATCAAAAGACAGCTGGTGTGGTTAAATTAATATCAAATAGAGCAGACTTTAAGTTAAGAAACATTAGAAACAGAGACATTTCAAAAGGCCATGAAAGATTAAGCCTGACACTTTTCCAGGTAAAAAAAGACTAAAGAGGGGTGCCTGGGTGGCTCAGTTGGGTAAGCATCTGACTCTTGATCTCAGCTCAGGTCTTGGATCCACCATCACAGTAGACGTGAACACACCTCTGTCAATGGTCAACAGAATAAGCAGACGAAAAAAACATGAGTAAGGATATAGAAGATGCCGCAATGGAACAAATAAACTTGGACTAATTTACCTAGCGAGGACATTGCTCCCCAAGACAACAGAATACAAGTTCTTTCAAAGTGCTGATGGAGATTTAATGAAACTGACCATGTGCCAGATAATAAAGCAAGCCTCTACAAATTTCAAAGGAGTAAAGACATTCAGAATACGTTCTCTGAACACAGTAGAATTAAGTTAGAACTCAATAAATGGAACACTACAAGCTACGGCTAGAATTTCTTGTAATGAAGAAAGCACAGAAGTACCCCCTTACCCAAAAAAAAAGGTACAGGGACCCATCAAAAGTATGCAGGAAGGGGCTTCAAGGGTCTCCCACTGGCCAAATCTGGGACAATTTAGACATCAGAACAAATAGAGTAAATAGATTATACCCAATAGATTTACCCAAATAGGTCATAATCTATTGGGTAAAAATCAGAATATATGAGTCCATAATGAAACCAAGAAGAAACAAGGGAAAGGTCAACCACAGAGTGACAACTAACAGATGTGGAAGGAAAGATGGTGTTAGAAAAATCACTATTTTGTAACCCTCGTGGTATGGTAGCTTTATTATCAAAAACTGCCAACTAAAATTAGAGTCATCTTAGAATCTTAAAGGATTCAGAATTATTTTATTCTAATTTCAAAAGTAAGTAAAATTAAGTATTCAAAATAGCATGCTGGTGCCTTGATCCTGAGAAATAAATTTCTGTCATACACACACACGCATGCACACACACACACACACACACACACACACCTAAAACAGATAGTGAACCTTATTAGAATTTCCACTTTTCATTACAACAGATATGAAATGTTTACCTGGGCACAACAAATGAAAGCAATGGAAAGTGTCAGTAAGAAGACTGAAGATACGACGACATCAACTGAGCGCTGTGGACCCCGTCTCTGTGGAGTGAGACATATAGGTTAATATTTAAGATTACACTTAGAGACAACAGTGGCCCTCAAATCATTCACATTCTGAGTTTTACAACATTAATGTGAAAATAAATGTTTATAAGAAGTTTCTAGCCCAGTATTTTAACATAGTTCGGACACGTTTAATTTTAAGCATTGAAATTCATGCTGTTCCAAGTTAAGGCTGTGAGTTATTCACGAATGTATTTTCAGCTAAAATATTTTCCAAAAAGTCAGAAAAAGATGCAATTTTCAACTTATCGCTCTGCCCTAGGAATTTAGATTTTCTTTTCCCTTCCTAAGCTCTCATTTACTCACCTCTAACAGCTTAGCAGATAGATCATTTCCAACTTGCTGCCCAGCACGTCTGTCAGCCACTGATATGATCTGTCTGGTTCACAGAACTACACTACCCATTGAGTATCTGCTGCCAGAAATTTCAGTGAGCATGCTTTCTGCATATTCCTGCACATATTCCATCGTCAAATGAAACTCACCTTGAGAAAGGAGCGCAGTGATAACCATATCTTAATGTTCTCCACCTTTTTAAGTCTGAAATGAGGTATTTCATATTTCCTAGCCTTCCTGGCAGAAGTAATATGGCTGAAGAGTTTTGCAAATAAAAATCTCTAGAGGAGGTTTAAAAAAATCACAAAGTAAAATATACATGTTTGTCTCTGAGTATATGTTTATATGATTGTAAATAATATTCCCATATATTGGAAGCATATAAAAAATAATAAACAGATGAAATTCTAATCAGTGATCACTTAGACTAAGCTAATAGCTCATTATCCTGTTACTTCCAAATCATATTCTATAGTAATGTCTTTGTATATATGCCTTTGTAATATGGTACACTTGACATTCTCAAGGAATATTCTTTGGAGACCTTTGTGAATCCCCGACCTCACAAACAAAATTGTTTATCTGAATTCTGGTTTAGTTCCAAATTAAATTTCCATTCAAAATCACATTCTTTTGGACATGAAGACATATCAAGTCTCCAATTCTTCATTCTTACCGAAATTCAATGCATTTATTTCTCACTTAACCATTGCCTACACAAACATTTTCACTTTGAGAATTACTACATATGTTATGGGCAAACAAGTGCAGTATTGAGACACAGGTGCTGTGCAGTCAGCTAGGCTCACTCTCTGCCTAAGCCACTTATTCCTACCCGTGAGCTCAGCGAAATCTCAGATCACAACATGTTATTTGTGATTAATCGATATCACAAGTGTTAAACCCACAAACACCAAAAGTTTGCTCATCAATCCTTCATTGTCCACATTAACTTCTGGAGAGAGAACAAATCAATAGAACAAAAACAACTCGGTGGAATATCATATACAAAAGCAGAGGCGAGAAACTTAATTTTCTACTGACCTGTTTATATGTTCTTTCCGCCACACACATCATGAAAAAAAAAATCCAAGTAAGACACAATCGTTCAAAAAAATTAATCATAGACAAAATAATAATAGGTGTAACAGGTGGTGCCCCACAAAAGAGAGTCATGATCTCCTCAGCTGAAATAGACTTTAGCTGGTCAAAACTCTTCTCACGGAAAAGTCGATGTAAAAAAGGGAAAAATGCTAATCCAATGGTGACGACATTTCCCAGCATCTGATAACCTACTCCTTGCTGATACGCATTAACCTGAGAATTAATTTAAAACGTCGCGTCGTTATTACACAGTTAAATGGAGTTATGAAGCAGTTTTTATCGACTACTATTTAGATTATTAAAAACGAAATCTGTTTCGAATCTAAAAGAAGTACAAAGAAAAATGACGTATAGATTTATGACTCTTAGATTTTATTAAAAATTAGGCTTAGATAAGGAACATTCATAGAGTATACCTGAATAACTGATCATGTTCAGAGAACTTTGTAACAAAAAAAATATATACTACCAAGTAAAGACACTAACCACAAAAATTAAAAAAATATATATATTCGGATTTCAAAAGCAGAGTCAGTGCTTTGATCACTGAATAGAGCCAATGAACAGCTGATCATAAACAGGTTTTTCAAAAAATCTGAAAACTTATGAAATCTTACCCTGCTCATGATGATGCCACTTATTTCCAACACAGACATATCCATCTTTTTGCACTCATTCCCTTCCCAGATTATTGCACTAACTCGATCAGAGGCAGGACTTGAGTTCTGAAGCCAGAATAAGTGGTTCTAAAAAGAAAAATATAAAACTATTTTCATCCACCCTTCTTTCTTCCCTCAGTTGGATTTTCTCCCCATTGTCCAGCTCCCAGGCCACATTTGCCAGTGTTAGACCTCATCATTCTATTCTCTCCTTCACAGAGCTCAATACCAATGACAAACCTCCACCATGCTGATCTCTGGTCCTTTTTTCTTCACTAAGACATTTTCTTACCTAGAGAGAGGCTAAATGTCTTCTGTAATGACGTAAGTAGGATTCCATGATCTCCAAGGTGGCCTGGCTTCCCTCTCTAAATGTGTGGAAGTGAGGATAAGCTTGGTGTATTCATGGCATGTTAAGAAGGAAAGTATTTCTAGAGCAGCATGACTATACTGGAGGTAGCAGGAAATTAGCTAGGAGAGCTGCTAATAGGCCTTACAAGTTGCATGAATAACTGAGGAGTTAAGCCTTTCTCTGGTCTAATCAGGACACAGAAAAGCATATAAAGCTCAAGAGGACAGGGGTGCCTGGTGGCTCAGTAGGTTAAGTGTCCTACTCTTGGTTTTGGCCCGGGTCACGATCTCATGGTTCATGGGTTTGAGCCCCAGGTCGGGCTCTGTGCTGATGGTGGGGAGCCCGCTCAGGATACTCTTTCTCTCCCTCTCTCTCTGCCCCTCCCCTGCTCATGCTCTCAATCTCAAAATAAATAAATAAACATAAGAAAGAAAGAAACAAACAAACAAACAAGCAAATAATACCAATGGAGGAGGGAAAGCAATTAAAGGATTTTAAGGGGAATGGCATCATTCCAGCTGCAGCATGGAAAAGCAAAGGGAGCAGGCCCACAGAAGCTGCTATAATGATCCAGATAGCAGCCAATGACGGTCCACCCCAAGCAGGGGAGACACAAGTAGACAGACACAGATATTCAGTGGAGTCAAGAGGACATATTAGAAACACACTAGAGAGGATGGGGTCAAGAACCACTCCAAGGATGGGGCACCTGGGTGGTTGAGTCGGTTAGGCATCCAACTCTTGGTTTTGGCTCAGGTCATGATTTCATGGGTCCGTGAGTTTGAGCCCCACATTGGGTTCTGTGCTGGTGGCACAGAGTCCGCTTGGGATTCTTTCTCTCGCCCTCTCTCTCTGCTCCTCCCCGACTCACGCTGTCTCTCTCTCAAAAGTAAATAAACTTAAAAAAAAACAAAAAAAAGTAAATAAACTTAAAAAAAAAAAAAAAAAAGAACTACTCCAAGGTTTCTGCCTTAGGCGGTCAGTGGTGGCATTCAAAAATATGGGGATAAAGGAAGAACAGGATGGATAGGGTAATTGGGAAATGATGAATTCCTTTTGATATGGTTTCATGTTACCTAATTATGCTTATATATGCCTTAAAATTATACTGAAAATCCCAAAAGTGCAAAGGAGGTCAAGATTATCAGGATGTCATGTATAACTACTGAGGGCTAATGTAATTTAGATGAATCTTCAGACTAAATGTAAAGAATATTTAGATTCAAACTTTGACAGCAAAATTGAAAGAAGCTTAAAGCTTTAATAAGAAAATGTATGTTGTTTCTGGTTAGTTTTAAAAAATTGTATACATTTAATGAAGCAGGATTTTTTTATGAAAATGTGTAACCTAAATCAATGGTATCCTAGAATCAAGAAAATTCAATGATTAAACAAATGAATATCCAGAATCCAGTATTTGTAGATCACTGTGGAAATATTTAGCCTGAAGAACAACAAAAAAAGGAAGAATCATGATCATTGTCACCAAACATCTGAAATGTTGACTTGAGAATCATTTCTTAACCATTCAATCTATCCGGCAGTGGAGAAAGCTCTCTCATGAAGTTAACAATCACTCTGGCTCCAGAAGTACTTACACAGAGGCCATTGATAATCTGATGGCGATACTAATAATAATGCTAACATTTATTAGGTGCTTACCCTTTGCCAGACATTGTGCTAAGCACTTTATATTATCTCATTAGATATATCACAATAGTCCCAAGAAGGAGTAACGATGATTACCATGTAAGAATTCCTACATTGGTTGGAAGGTTCAAATACCTTCTAAGGAATCTCCAATTCCAGGTTCTCTGATTTTATGATATTAATATAAGACCTAAAATTAAAAGCACCACTTGGTTTATACATTACTAGAGAAGCAAGTAATGCCATTTCTTAGTAATTCACACATAACGCTGCGATGTCGCTGAAAATATGAGGTTGATATACCATTCAAACAACACTCTGCTCACATAAAATGAACATTAAGGATCATTCTAAGGAAAATAATGAGAAAAAGTGTTATGAAGAACAATTCATGTTAGGGGAATTCCAGAGTACCTGCCCCTGAGTTCTAATTCCAACGTCTTCACTTACAAATTATGCTCGATTTCCTCATCTCTACATTAGAGATAATAATAGTATCTACCTCATTCAATTATTGTAAAGCCAAATGAGATAATACGGCCCCTGGCATGTGTAGGTATACAGTAAATATTGGCTACCGTCACCTTTACAGACCTGCTGAAAAACATCTTCTTTGGGATCACGTTTGGTCCCTGAATGGAGGGTGTTCACATGGGCCCCCTCACTGTCACTGGTGACAGATGACCGGCACTCTGGGCCATGCAGCAGGTCGTCCCATAGCATATCCTCGGTCTCTGAGTCATGGCGGGTGCTTTCTGAGTCTCTTCTAGACATGGTCAGGCTTCGAGAGCCACCACTCATGCCAGACCTAGAGCCCTTTAAAGGGAAACAGAAAAAAACTATTTTTTTCATTCGTTTTTAAAAACAATCATATATCTGAAACGAAATTAAAGCAAGTTATCTGTGGTGATGGCTGGCAAGCTCCCGTAAACTTACCCCCAAATATTCACCTGTTCATAAGGCTTCATATAACAATACATTTTAAGATATAAATGTTAAACCCTGTGTGACTCTCTAACAAGCAGGGCTGTAAAAGGACTCCCTCTAAGAACTGACTGCCAAATCATCAGGCTGTTTGACTGGAATGCCCTGGATGACAGTGACCTCTGCAAGCCCCTCCGGAGGGCCTACCCTGGAAAGGTGTGGCAGAGCCTTCTGACATTCCCAAAGTGTCCCCTACTCTAAATACGGTGAGCGTGACTGCAGATCTAGTCGTGTCCCGGGGCCCGGCCAACCACGGAAAGGACAGTCAGGCTGAGCAGAGGCTGCGCGGTGCAGCTCGCCTGCAGCATAAACAGAAACACAAACGTTTTCCCACGCCCCCAACTGCCTTGTCAATCAAAACAAAAACCACCTACCACCATCTGCCCCGTCCCCCTCTGAATTATAATATTCCAAATATACAATATCCTATTAGCTGCATGATGAGATTTGCTGCCCGTCTCTCAGGGGTCCTTTCTCAAAAATTTATCTTCATCAGCATCAGTGCCACTTACAAAGGAATGATACTTAAGAATAAACTCTATATTCCAAGTAAATATGAGGGAGCCTTCTTGTCATCTGGGGATTGAGGAAGCTCTTGCCTGCAAAGCATCAGATCATCTATGATACTTTCAAGATCAGAGTCAAAGTGAAACAGAGCTCCTTCTCTTCGTGGGGGTGAGCAGCCAGAGAGGTAGACAGACAACTGACGGCAGGGGAGGCCAGGAAAATAGAACCACCACTATGTCAGGACAATCAATAAAAAAAGCAGTGGGTAAACTTATCACACTCAGGAATACACCCTGAACAATGACCTCTCAGAAGGATACAATACCTGACTGAAAGCTGCCGATTCAAACTCTGATTCAGCCAGACTATCTGAATCCCGTGCAATGTGACACCACTTGGTGGTGGTTTTCTTTACCTGCCAAAAATCAAGCCAGTAAACAACAGGAAAACATGTCAAATATCTTGTTAGTATTCAGTGATTTAGGAGTTAATGCCTATACTTCTACAAACTAAAAATTACCTGAGTGTTTAGGTGCCTAGAAAGTATTGACTTTCTATTCTTAACTTCACAGCCGTTGTCACTTGAGGCCCCTTCCACACTCCTGCGCAACATCATCATCTGTGTCCGGGCTTCACCGTCCTCCTCGCTTGACAGGTCATCTGAAATCCCATTACCCAGATGCCTAAAAGCCTCCTACAAAGAGAACAGCAATGTCTCCCCAGGGGACAGCCCAAAATACTCTAGTAAGCGGCATGTGTAAAAACAAAAAAACAGGTAAAAACTAAGAAATGGTAAAGGTAACCCAAAACTGAACAAACCTAGATCTTACTTGGTGTCAATAAAGAAAACTCTCTTGGCACTAAGCAGCCTAAACGGTGAGGCAGTATTATGTAGAGAGGTTGGAAGCGCAGGCGTGAGTCTGAATCGGAGCCCTTCGACTTCCTGGCCACGTAACCTGAGGCAAGTAACTGAATCTCTGGGGCTCCTTTTCCTCAGAGGAAAAGGGATGATAATAAAAGCACCTATCTCACAGAGCTACCGAAACAATTAGATGACTTACTACACATAAAGCACTTAGAATAGTGTCTGGTTGCAGTAATGACTCAAACAGATTAGCTATTTTTGTAATTACTAAATGCCACAGTCTAACAAGTGAGAAGATATTTCAAGACTATAAAATGTAGTTTTAGAGATAAAACATCTGTGCTAAAGCTAGAAAATAGCTTCCCAAACCCTACTATATTATCATTGCATCTCTGGAATATGACACAGGAGCCTCTACACACAGATCCGTTGATGAAATCGACCAGCCTACTCCTAAGGCTGGGTCAGTAGCCTATCAAATAACAAGGTCTAGTCCCAGAAATTAAAAGAATAAACTACAGTCTTCACGTGTTACTCTCCTTTTCATGTCCTGTGGTTTTACATTTCACTTATTTGTTAAGACAAATTACACAAACCTGTTAGTATCTATTTGATACCTCTAGCAGAGTCTAAGAATAGGAACATTTTATGCAGGAAAGAAAAGATTTTGCTATATATACTCATCTAAATCTTACCCTATGGCACTTTTCTCCATCTGAAAATTTTGCTTTCTCTTTTGTTTGCCACATTCTAATCTCTGGTCGACATTGTCTCTTCTTAATGATAGGATGCAGACAACTTGGGTCATTATCAGTTTCAGTTCCTTTGTTACATATTAATTTCACTCTTTTAATCCTAATTTTAGAAAAGGAAAACAAAGATTACTAGCATGAACTATCTTTCATGAAATCACTTTCTTCTGAAGAATGTAATACGCCTGACCCTTGAACAACACAGGTTTAAACTACAGGTTCCACTTATTCATGGACTTTTCAAAAAATACAGTACAGTATTATAAATGTATTTTCTCTTCCTTATCATTTTCTTAATAACATTACTTTTTCTTTACCTTACTTTATTGTAAGAATACAGTATATAATACATACAACACACACAATATATGCTTATTAACTATGTTATTAGTAAGGCTTCTAGTCAACAGGTACCTTTAACCACAGGCCAACTGTGTATTATTCTGGAAATCAAGAAAATGCAGAAATCCTATTTTTCAGGCTTCTAGCTTGCCTAAGGGTGTAGGAAGCCAGAATACAGGTGTCACTAGTCTCCAAAGACTCATCACAATTAATTTTGAGAGTAAGACTCCTCTTTTCAGTTTTGCAAGCAGGTAGCTTCAGTCTTCTCCATTTTCCCTCTCAAACACGGTGCCAATGCCTACCTCACATCACCCGTTTATGCCACTTCCTAGAATGTCTTCCCCTCACCTGTCCCTCAAAGCCCAGCAATTCTTGGCTCCTTCATGACTCCTGCTGATTACTTCACCCCTGAATTACTCTGTCTGCTCAACTACATGGCCTTTCGTCAGCACGTAATCACTTATAGTATTTTTACATTGCTGTGACTGTATCATCCTCGTATCTTCCTATTTAGACAATAAAATCACTGAGAAAGGGGATGCCCAGTGCCCAGCACAATGTTCAACACAAAGAACCCAACACTTCAACTGAAGAGTGTAACCTGTCTTTAGCAAAGTAGGGGAATATACAAGTGTCCCCCCGCTTTTCTACAGTCCACACTGTGCCACTTAGCTTTTATGGAAGACTTACATTAACACCTGTCGTATTAACCAAAAGAAACCTGAGGAGGATTTTTGCTTTAGCGAACAAAGGCGTAAAGTGAAACTAGCACTCAGTATTTGTTTCACCGCGAGCCATTATGGGAGCAGCGCGCCTACAAGCTGCCAGCCAGCCGCAAGAGTGGCCCCTGAGGGCCCCGTCCCTGGGAACTACACTCAGCATCTCAGCATCAAGCCGCCAGAGCTTCGAACTGTGTCTGTGAGCATCTGTGCTTCATCTCAATCCACTAGCAAGATGTGTCCTAAGGTATCAGAAAAGCCTAAGAGAGGCTATTTTGGGGGGGGTCTGAGAAGGCTCAAAAGTTTTTCTGCAGAAATTAATGGTAATTGCTTCTTCACTTTATCCCATTTTGACCCATGAAAGGTTTCAAAGAACACTCTGCTTTCGGAAAGTGGGGGAAATGTGTACTTCATCTTCAAAAAAAGGAACCGCAAGGGGCACCTGGATGGCTCAGTCAGTTAAGTGTCCGACTTTGGCTCAGGTCATGATCTCATGGTCCATGAGTTCGAGCCCTGCATCGGGCTCTGTGCTGACAGCTCAGAGCCTGGAGCCTGCTTCGGATTCTGTGTCTCCCTCTCTGCCCTTCCCCTACCCACACTCTGTGTGTGTTGTCTCTCTCTGAAAAATAAATAAACATTAAAAAAAAAAAAAAGGAACTGCAAAAGAACTTTGTTTTTGAGTCATAATCATTAATATATGACAAAATAAGTATTTCTTCAAGTCATACTAATGTTGTCCTGACCTGCAAAATCATGAAGAAGATAGAATATGTTTTGGATCCACTTCCCTTTCTGTCCTATAGCCCATCAACACCAGCCTCCTGCATCCCATTTCTAAAGAGGTATCAGCTTCCACACTGAAAAATATCTGATCTTTTTAAAATTCTTTTTTTCCCCTCAAGCTGTCAGCTGATACGGCTTAAAATATTTACCCTTTCCAAGTATTTATATTTCTATAATCTTGGGGTCTATAATTCTGTTAAAAATCAAACAGAATGAACTTTTATGGTAGAATACTGGACTTGTGGGTAACATGACAGTGGGGACACCTGGAGTAAACAAATCCTTCTAGAATCCTTAAAAATCATACCACAATTATAATATGCTTACACTGTATACTCCCAATCAGATAATATACTATGTTAACACTACTGTGAATACAAAATCAAGTAAAAATTCCAACACAAGCCTTCTCACCTGTTGCCAAAGAGACTGTCCCAAAATCCACCAATAAAGGGTATAGATTCCAAAGTTTCTACTCCTCTGACTTTATCAGAGGAGTTACTTCCATTTTCTCGGCTCCCGTCACCATTTACAGTTTTTCGTAATTTTCTACAAAAAAAAAAAAAAGTATTTCAACAACTTCAGATTATTCAAGAACTTGTATGTTTCTACCCAAAATATCCCTACAGAAAATTATAGCAATGGGTTACTACCTGAAATTAAGTATAGTGAACTTCTTGTAATGAGGATAGAATCATGCAAGAATGTTTCTGACTTAAGGGCAAAACCAGGTTCCAAACCAAAGTCCTATGCTATCATTTTGTTTAATATTTAAAGAAATTGAACTAATATCAAAAATATTACTAGAAAAAAATTTTTCACATATATGACCAAGAGTCTTTCCATGTACATTCAACACCACTAGCACAAAGAACAATGCCTTTAAATATGGATGTCAGAAATCTATCCATCTGACACATTTAATCAGAGAACACAAAATAACAGCAATTGATCACTTTGTACTGATACCCTAAGCAGTTAAAATACATATCTAAATCACCAAGATACACCATGGGATTTCCTTAGAAATCATTAATTGCAAGGAATCCTCTCTTTGCAAAAAAAAAAATGGCTTGAAAATAACATTCAAAAATAAGAATAAATACGTTCAAATTCATTGCACCAAATGAAAAAAAAAATCTTATTTGGTAATTGCTTAGGAAAACAAAAATTTACAGATATTCTGAGAAAAGATAATATAACTTTTGGAAGGTAATATACCTAACATTTACCTTAAAAGCCTTTATAACAGTTCCAAAACTCACAGATGGCATATAACCAATAAAAACAAAGTGAATTCAATGTATAGAAAAGAGAAATTAATCTCTGTTAAAAGGTTAGAGCACTTAGAAATCCATTCTTTACATACAACTGGAAAAAAGTACAAATTTTACTAGCACTAGCCCAATGTACTAACATCCTTGTTTACATAGTGAATTTTCACCAAATTTTGATTGAGACTGAATGTCAAAAATTTTTTTTTCAAAATCACTGAAGTAAATTTTAAGAGTATAACTATTGCAGTATCAAATTTTTCCTTTTAAACAACTTTACTGAATGACAAAATCCCACCTGGGATTAAATAGGTCATGACAAGGTTTCTTAGCATCTGGAAGAACGAAAAGAAAAGCATTTTTTTTTAAGCCAAAAAATAATTTTAAAAAAATTGTAAACCAGAAGATTTTTTATTAATTTCATCAAAGATTTTCTAAGTCTGTTCAATGCCTCTCTCAGAAAACACAACTACAAGTGCAATTTCTTATCTTACCTTCTTCTCCGATTTCCATTGTTTCCCGATGGCCTTGTTATCTGAGTAGACACAATTTGACAGTGGACAGTTCCCATGAGTAACATAAGGCACAAGGGTCCAAGTACTTCGCTTACATTCACAATAGGCATCATAAAATATAACACGAGTGCTATAACTGAAAAGAAGAGGTTTCAAAATGTAAAACATCACGGCTCATTCTTTATGTCTAATCTTAGCAATTGTACAAACTATTGCTACAAAAATCTACCAATTTTTTTGTTTTTGTAAATTTACATCCAAGTTAGTTAACATATAGGGTAATAATGATTTCAGGAATAGAATTTAGTGATTCATCTCTTACATGTAAACACCCAGTGCTCATCCCAACAAGTGTCCTCCTTAATGCCCCTTGCCCATTTAGCCCATTCCCCTACCCGACACCCCACCAGCTATCCTCAGTTTGTTCTCTGTATTTAAGAGTCTCTTATGGTTTGTCTCCCTCTCTGTTTTTATATGTTTGCTTCTCTTCCTTTATGTTCATCTGTTTTGTATCTTAAATTCCACATGAGTGAAGTCATATGATATTTATCTTTCTTTGACTTACTTCACTTAGCGTAATACACTCTAGTTCCATCCATTTTATTGCAGATGGCAAGATTTCATTCTTTTTGATCACTGAGTAATATTCGATTGTGTGTATATACACATATATATACATACACACACACTACATCTTCTTTATCCATTCATCAGTTGATGGATATGTGGGCTCTTTCCATACTTTGGCTATTGTCAATAGTGCTAATATTGGGGTGCATGTGCCCCTTTGAATCAGCACTCCTATATCCCTTGGATAAATACCTAGTAGTGCAATGGCTGGGTCATAGGGTAGTTTTATTTTTAATTTTTTGAGGAATCTCCATACTCTTTTACAGAGTGGCTGCACCAGTTTGCATTCCCACCAGCAGTGCAAAAGAGTTGCTCTTTCTCCACATCCACACCAACATCTGTTGTTGCCTAAGTTGTTAATTTTAGCCACTCTGACTGGTGTGAGGTGGTATCTCAGTGTGGTTTTGATTTGTATTTCCCTGATGGTGAGTGATGTGGAACATTTTTTCTGTCTGTCAGCCATCTGGATGCCTTCTTTGGAAAAGCGTCTATTCATGTCTTCGTTTCTTCACTGGATTATTTGGTTTCTGGGTGTTGAGTTTGATTAGTTCTTAATAGATTTTGGATACTAACCCTTTATCTGATATTTCATTTGCAACTATCTTCTCCATTCCATTGGTTACCTTTTAGTTTTGCTGATTGTTTCCTTTCCTGTCCAGAAGCTTTTTATCTTGATGAAGTCCCAATAGTTCATTTTTGCTTTTGTTTCCCTTGGCTCTGGACACATGTCAAGTAAGAAGTTACTGTGGCTGAAGTCAAAGAGCCTGTTGTCTGTTTTCTCCTCTAGGATTTTGATGGCTTCCTGTCTTACGTTTAGGTCTTTCATTCATTTTGAATTTATTTATGTGTATGGTGTAAGAAAGTGGTCCAGTTTCATTCTTCTGCACAAAGAGCTTTCATGCTGTCCAGTTTTCCCAGTGCCATTTGCTGAAGAGACTGTCTTTTTCCATTGTATATGCTTTCTACCTTTGTCATGGATTGGTTCACCATATAAATATGGGTCTGTTTCTGGGCTCTTTACCTGTTCCATTGATCTATGTGTCTGTTTTTGTGCCAGTACCATACTGTCTTGATGATTATAGCTTTGTAATACAGCTTGAAGTCCAGAATTGTGATGCCTCCAGCTTTGGTTTTCTTTTTCAGGATTGCTTTGGCTATTCGGGGTCTTTTCTGGTGCCATACAAATTTTAGGATTGTTTGTTTTAGCTCTGTGAAGAATGCTGTTATTTTGATAGGAATTGAATTGAATATGTAGATTGCTTTGGGCAATATTGACATTTTAGCAACATTTGTTCTTCCAATACATGAGCATGGAATGTTTTTCCATTGTGTGTGGGGGGGTGGAGGGGGGGTTCTTCAATTTCTTTCATAAGCTTTCTATAGTTTTCAGTGTTTTCACCTCTTTGATTAGGTTTATTCTTATATATTTTATGGGTTTTGGTGCAATTGTAAATGGGATCAATTCTTGCATTTCTCCTTCTGGTGTTTCATTATTAGTGTATAGAAATGCAACCTATTTCTGTACATTGATTTTATATCCTGTGACTTTGCTGAATTCATGGATCAGTTCTAGCAGTTTTTTGGTGGAGTCTTTTGGGTTTTCCACATGGATGATCATGTCATCTCTGAAGAGTGACAGTTTGACTTCCTCCTTGCTGATTTAGATGCCTTTTATTTCTTTTTTTTTTTTTTTTAATTTTTTTTTTCAACCTTTATTTATTTTTGGGACAGAGAGAGACAGAGCATGAACGGGGGAGGGTCAGAGAGAGAGGGAGACACAGAATCGGAAACAGGCTCCAGGCTCTGAGCCATCAGCCCGGAGCCCGACGTGGGGCTCGAACTCACGGACTGCGAGATCGTGACCTGGCTGAAGTCGGACGCTTAACCGACTGCGCCACCCAGGCGCCCCAGATGCCTTTTATTTCTTTGTGTTGTCTAATTGCTGAGGCTAGGACTTCCAGCACTATGTTAAATAACAGTGGCGACAGTGGACATCCGTGTCTCTTTCCTGACCTTAGGGGGAAAAGTCTCAGTTTTTCCCCATTAAAGATGATATTAGTGGTGGGTCTGTCGTATATGGCTTTTATGATCTTGAGGTCTGATCCTTCTATCCCTACTTTCTTGAGGGTTTTTATCAAGAAAGGATGCTATATTTTGTCAAATGCTTTCTCTGCATCTATTGAGAGGATCATGTGGTTCTTATCCTTTCTGGTATTAATGTGATATATCACAATGATTGACTTGCAGATATTGAACTAGCCCTGCATCCCAGGAATAAATCCCACTTGATCGTGGTGAATAATTCTTTTAATGTGTTGTTGGATCTGGTTGGCTAGTATCTTGTTCAGAATTTTTGCATCCTGCATGAATTTTGCATGTTCATTAGAGAAATTGGTCTATAGTTCTCCTTTTTAGTGGGGTCTTTGTTTTCAGAATCAAGGTAATGCTGACCTCATAGAATGAGTTTGGAAGATTCCCTTCCATTTCTATTTTTTGGAACAGTTTCAGAAGAATAGGTGTTAACTCTTCTTTAAATGTTTGGTAGAATTTCCCTGGAAAGCCATCCAGCCTTGGACTCTTGTTTGTTGGGAGATTTTTGATTACTGAATCAATTTCTTTACTGGTTATGGCTCTGTTCAAATTTTCTATTTCCTCCTGTTTCAGTTTTGGTAGTTTATGTTTCTAGGAATTTGTCCATTTCTTCCAGATTCCCCAAATTATTAGCATATAATTGCTCATAATACTCTCTTATTATTGTTTGTATTTCTGCAGGGTTGGCTGTGAGCCCTCCTCTCTCATATTTATTATTTCCCATTTCTGCTGGTTTTGGGCTCTCTTTGCTGTTCTTTTTCCAGCTCTTTAAGGTGTAAGGTTAGGTTGTTACTTGAGACCTTTCTTCCTTCTTTAGGAAGGTCTGGATTGCTATGTACTTCCCTCTTATGACTGCCTTTGCTGCATCCCAGAGGTTTTGGGCTGTCGTGTTTTCATTTTCAATGGCTTCCATGTATTTTTTTCATCTTCTCTTTAATTTCTTGGTTAACCCATTTATTCTTTAGTAGTATGTTCCTAATCTCCAAGTATTCATGGTCTTTCCAAGTTTTTTCCTGTGATAGATTTCGAGTTTCATAGTGTTGTGGTAGGGAAATATGCAAGGTATGATCTCAATCTTTTTGTAGTTGCCGAGGGCCGATTTGTATCCCCCTATGTGATCTAGTCTGGAGAATTTTCCATGTGCACTAGAGAAGGATGTGTATTCTGCTGCTTTAGGATGAAATGTTCTGAATATATGTTAAGTCCATCCAGTCCAATGTATCATTCAAAGCCACTGATTCCTTGTTGATTTTCTGCTTAGATGTTCTGTCCATTGCCATAAATGGGGTGTTGAAGTCCCCTACTATCATGGTGTTATTATTAATGAGTTTATGTTTGTGATTGATTTATATATTTGGGTGCTTTCTTGTTGAGGACATAAATATTTACAATTGTTAGATCTTCTTAGTGGATAGACCCCTTAATTTTGATATCTTCATCTCTTATTGCAGTCTTTATTTTAAAATCTAGTTCGTCTGATATAAGTATGGTTATTCTGGCTTTCTTTTGGCGACCATTAGCATGATAGATGGTTCTCTATCCCCTACTTTCAATCTGTAGATATCTTTAGGTCTAAAATGGGTCTCTTGTAAGCAGCATACAGATGGGGCTTGTTTTCTTACCCATCCTGATACCCTATGTCTTTTGATTGGAGCATTTAGTCCATTGACATGTAGAGTTAGTACTGAAAGATGAATTTAGTGCTATTGTGTTGCCTGTAGAATTGGAGTTTCTGGTAATGTTCTCTGGTCCTTTCTAATCTTTGTTGCTTTTGGTCTTTTTTGTTTTGTTTCATCTTTTCTCCACTCAAAGAGTCCAACTTAAAATTTCTTGCAGGGATGGTTTAGTGCTCACAAACTCCTTTAGTTTTTGTTTGCCTGAGAAACTCTTTATCTCTCCTTCCATTTTGAATGACAGCCTTGCTGGATAAAGAACTCTTGGCTGCATATTTTTCTGATTCAGCACGTTGAATACATCCTGCCACTCCTTTCTGGCCCGCAGAGTTTCTGTGGTCAGGTCTGCTGCAAACCTGATCTGTCTTCCCTTCTTCTTCTTTCCCTTGCTGCTTGTATTCAATATTTATGAGCACTATACATTTCTGGAACAAGGTGGATATTAAATCAAACAAACATGAAGCAAACATTAAGCACTTACTATGTGCTAGGAAAGGAAGGAAGGAAGGGAGGGAGGGAGGGAGGGAGGGAGGAAGGAAGGAAGGACGGGAGGGAGGGCGGGAGGGAGGGAGGGAGGAAGAAGGAAGGAAGGACAGTCCCTGCCCTTATGGAGTTCAGGGTCTAGTTGAAGCAAACAATCATAAATACAATGGCAAAGCACCAGGGAGGCATTATGGAAGAAGGGGCTTGTTCTGCCTGATGAATGCAGGAGCAGGCTTTACAGAGGTGGAGACAATGGAGC